TTTTCCAGTAGACAGCACTTACTTTTGGCAACACTTCCCAGCGTCTTCTCTTTGTGAACCTCTCAAGACAGTAAATTTCTTAGGAGTAGAGACTTTTTTTTGACAACAGTGGATCTTCTAGCCTACTGCCTGCATCTAATACAAGCTCAATAAATATTTGATAAACCATATTCCAAATCTGCATTCTCTATGATCCCCCAGCCACTTTTCTTTACTTTCTTTAATTCTTCTACTCTGTGATTTCAAAGAGTGATAGGATAAAATGTGTAATCCCCTCCTGAGGTATTGGCATTTTAATAAAGCAAACAGCTTTGAGCTAAAGAAATAAAACCATATGGTATGTCAGGCATTATGAAGATGATGGAATGCATTCTGAAAGGCAAGATAGTATTCCTTAGCTCCCTGTTATACCTGGTAATAGGCCTGTAGTGCAAATGATGCCAAGAACTGTTCATGGTAGATTTTCAATTATTTAAAAGTAGGACATAGGCCATGATCATTACTTTACATTGTTTCCACAGATCAGCTCCGGTTTCCTTTCTATTTCTCATACTGAAGTTCTTCCTCTACCCCTACCATAATAGAAAAACACCTCAAAACATTGATTACCTATTATAAGGTTGGTCTTTTCTAAACAAACAAACAAAAATTCCAAAGCAGTTTACATTTGGAGGCATTCTTTGCTCCTCTATCAATAGTTCTTGAACATATTGCCACACAAGATTTCCTATGTTATATAGATCAAGGGAATTTTCTTACGTGTCCTTGAAAAATATAAATAGGAAACAAATTCACTACTGAACATCTGTCTTCTATAAAGTTTAGAGGTTGACTTGATTTATCAGACTAAGAAATACCTCAATTCTATAATTCTGATTCCATTTTTAATCAAATTATTATAAACACCCTTTGGGTCATTTTGTGGAAATGATAGATTAAATAGTGTACTCAATCAAAAAACCTGAACGATCCCTTCCACTTGAAAGTTACATAATTGCTCAACAAATTGTATGTGTTATTAAAACATGAACTGATAGTAAGGTCATTGAATAGTGCTACAACTCATTAAAGCCAACTAGTATGGTTTTACTTCTTAGAATTGTTAGAAGTAAATTTTCTGTGCCACAAAAGAAATAGCACTCGAATATAAACTTTCTTAGCAAGGCAATTTACTTCTATAGAAGGGTGTGTCTCATGGATGGAGCAGTGGCAAGAACAGTGGCATAACTGAACAAAGGAGGGAAAGGGGTTCTTATCCTTTATGCAGGTAGTCCCAACTTCTGTGTAGTTCTCCTATTGGCTAGGGTTGGACCACACAGTCTAAGCTGATTCCAATTTGCTATTTTTAAGACAGAAGGAGTATGAGCCAAAGTGGCAGGGTGAGCAGTTTTGGCAGGAAAGATGGTTACGGAATAGATGACGAAAAGTGGTGACTCAGATCAAAGCAGATGATCAGGGGTGACTCAAGGCAGGGCAGGTGACTAGGATGAGTCAGGACTCTAAATATGTGGGTTAGGAGCAGGATGCACAAGGGGGATGTGCAGTTTCAATGACAGGAATAAGTGCAGGTAATCAGGGGAACAGATATGAACTACTAATTAGAACTTCCAGGAAAGTCGTTTACTAAAACTAGGGGCAAGGAGATGAAGAAAATGATGAAGTTAAACTTTAAAATAAAGGAGGAACATGGAAACTGAACACAGTGGCATACTGATTCTTTGAAGAGCGACTTGGAACTCACTGTATTCAACAGAATATGTATCATTTACAGTGGCAATTATCTCTTTTTATATTAATGAAGAAAATAAAATAGAGCATAACTCACAAATTTTATCTATTTTGGCTTCAAGTATTTCTTGTTTTACTTGGGAGTGATGCATTTATATTATTTGAATATAGATTTTGTCTTACAATTTGGGAGATCATACTACTTTAAACAAAATTACACCGGTGTGACTTATCCCTAGAAAGACAGTGGAACATTGCTTAGCTTATTTGAACTGATCTCAGAGGGACTTCTTTAATATCCCATGCTGCTAATCAAGAAACCATCTCAGAATGGTGGTAAGGACTAACCCTAGGCAAGAGGCCCCATCATGCTGTTTACTGCCTAGTTTACTCCACCCTTGATGGAAAGATTATAATTAAGTCAGGGGCCATAATACAATATATTATTCATATTGATATTCCCAGAAGTAGATTAGTTCCTGGCTCCATAGTAGGTGTTCCATAAATGTTTGTTCAATGCAACTGAATTACCTTGAATATCATGGGCACAAGATTTTTAACCAGGGGCCTAAATTAGAAATATCTAAAATATTTTGAAAACAAAAACAGAGATGATGTATGATTATGTGTATTTCTTTAAAAATCATCAGGTGACACCGATAAACCACCTTAGTTATAAACCGCTAATCTAAGTGGTAAACTATTTTTGTGAAAAATTCTAATAGTCAGCTCGATTGCCTAAATATTTCTAATTATTTTTATGAGGTATTTATTTTAAAAATGAATAGACTGGTGATTTTCAAAATTTGTGTGTGCTTTTGAGGCTTTAGCCTCCAAACAGTATCTTATGCCAAACCCAAATATTGTCAGTTCTCATTATTATTCATAAATTCTACCTTTGCAAATTTGCCTTTTCATTATAAATTATATGTAACCACCAAATCAATACTCCTAGCAGTTTCGCTATCATTCACAGACACTCACAGAGTGGCCAGAAATTGGAGCCACCTTTTGAGGTTAAACAAGGAGCTCCCAGATGAGGTTAAACAAGGCAATGCTCTCTTTGCCTTCTTGTTTCAGTTTTCATACTACAAACAAATGTCCTTTTTGTGGTCTACTTAGTGCTACATTTTTATGCATTTTGTTGGTGATTTTATTGTTTTAAATAGCCCCCAAGCACCATACTGAAGTGTCGTATGGTATTCCTAAGTGCAAGAAAGCTGTGATGTGGCTTACAGAGAAAATGTGTATATCGAATAAGTTTTCTTCAAGTAGAAGTTATAGTGCTACTGGCTGAGAGTTCAGTGTGAATAAAGCAGCAACATATGTTAAATAAGGTGTCTTTAAACAAAACATAAAACAAAGTTAGCTATTGATTGCTGGATGAAAATGTTGTGACCAGAGGTTTATAGGAACCTAACCATGTGTTTCCCCTGGGAGAAAGAGCTCAGAATTTGCTATTTCAGTTTTTGCAACAACTTTATAGACCATAAATACTGAAAATAACAATAATTAACTGCATGTAAAGCTTGAAGCCAAAATTGCTCTAGATGATATTGGTGTAAGATCATCATTTTTGTTCCCTTATCATCTCTTTCTTCCCAAGTGACAGCCCCCAAAACATATACTTGTTTTCTGGATCCAGAAGGAAAATTTTTAATAAGAATAGTCTTCCAAATGAATCCAGAGTAACAACCGAATTTCACATTTTACCTATATATTTGGATGTTATGTAGATATAGCAAGTACTTGCTTAGAAAATGCAAAACTAACATTATATTAAATCAAATAATTCCAGTTAGGAAGGTAATCAGATTGGGTCGGGAGGAGGATATCCAGTGCTTTTCTGAGCCAAATATAAATTACTTTTAGATTACCGGGTGTTTTTAATTATCTGCACCACTATACCACTCTGGACAGAATCAGAAGTTAGTTCTACCTCTGACAATGCCATATCTACCTTCTGGGCCCAGGCGGCTTTTCCCTATGTGCAGTGAAAGTAAAGGAAATACAATAGAACATCTGTTGACTCAGCACATCAGATTCTGAGTAAATGAATTACTTCTCTTACACATTAAATAAAATGCATGGTTTGGAAAAGGTCGCTGCAGTTACTTGAAGTAACATGAAAGTTACTTCATGGCTATTTTACTTTTTAAAGAAAAGGCCTAAAATGTAGTCAAATTCAAAACAAGAAGCAACATCATGTAAAACAGAATATTTGGTAAAATAATAATAATGCAAATAACCATTCCCTAATACCTAAGATTTTGAATGCTAAATTCTGTTGTCATTGCTGTGGTTATTACTGCTGTTGAGAGATAAACATAGCTAAGTACCCTCAGGCAGACATCCTCAGCTGGAGACATTTTGCTCCCCAGGGGAGATTGGGCAACATCTGGAGACATTTTTGATTGCAAGATTGTGTGGGAGATGCTACTAGCATCTAGTGGATAGAAATTAGTCATACTACTAAAATATACAAGGCAGCCCCCATAACCACAACAAAAACTAATCTACTCCAAAATGCTAATGTACCAAGATGAAAAAACTCCTATTCCAGGAGTTACTAGTGAATAAAAGAATTCTATTATACAGTACAAGCAATGGTTATTCCTATACAGACAACAATATTAGTGACTCTCCCAGGAGTGTGGCTCCTACATCTGCACTGAGTTCTCAGCAAGGATGTCATCCTAATCTCTGTGCCTAGAGAGGGCTTGATTCCAATATACAAACCAAGGCTCCTGTATGAAAACAAAACCACAAACAGCAGCTAGGCTCAGCATACCTCCTGGGTTCAGACATGAAATTTACCACCTGACTCTCTCCTCTTTATTGCTAAAGGGACATCATTAACAAATCATTGAACTTGAGGAACAACATTAAAAATATCTGGGTTATTTTCTTCATTGACCATAGAAAAAGAGCCATAAAGTCATGGATCAAATCCCTAGGTTCTGTCTAAGGTTATGAGTCTGACATATTGCAGGAAAATGAATCAATCCGTTTAAGTCCCCAGACTGTAACAAGAAAGAACATTTTGTGGACTAGTCTTCCACTGACTTATTTGGCTATTTATATGTAATACCAATAATATGTGCATTCACTCTAATTTATGGGTATAGCAGGCAGTACATGTTGACAGATGCTTGGGAAACTGCCTTGCAAACTGAATGCAGATACTTTGGCTTCTTTTCACATTTACTCTGTGCTCACTGCCACATCTTTACCTGTGTCTTCTTCTGAATATCTTCCTTTCTTTCTGACAGGTGGGCTGCAAGATTTTGCATTTCTTCCACCAGTATATGATGTCCTGCAACTATTTCTGGATGCTCTGTGAAGGAATCTATCTTCATACTCTCATTGTGGTGGCCGTGTTTACCGAGGAGCAACATTTGCGATGGTATTATCTGCTGGGCTGGGGTATGTATTTTCCACAGCTAAGTTTTGAGTCACTTTCACCTCTGTCTGTATGCTTTCAGTTTTCTTCTAATCTTGGTCTCAGAATAGAGTCAGGGCCCAGGTCCTTTAAGGAATAATGGAACATAGGTACTGGCAGGAGTTCAGTCTCCAAAAGACCTGGTAGAAACCCTTTACCAATTCCAATCAAACTGTGCTGAACATGAGGATCTGCACAGAGAAGGAAAGTATGACTATAAGGATAACTTCAGGGAACAAACCCAGCTAACAATGGACACAAAACATGCCCTGATTAGAGAAGATCTGATTAAGCCTTCTTCTGCTTTATTCATCACATGTTTATATAGCAAAAGGGAATTTCACATTTTGAATTCTGTACCTCCCTTACCCTGGCTTCATTTTCCTTCCTCAAGAACGTATCTTCCTGTCAATCCATCAGCAGTACTCCTCCAGTGAAAGCTCAGTCCAGCTGAGAGGCAGATATAACCACAAGGTTTCCAAGTAGAGCCTATGTGGCATCATATCACACGGCAATGGCTCTGGGAAGCTTAGGGCTGAATTGTTTAAGCTGTGGTTGTTTCTGTACAAACTTAAGGGAGGGTGCTAAAGTCCTTCACAGATGCTCTAGAATTGCTCACTTTCCCCCAGAGCTGATGAAAGTCCAGCTCCCCCTGGTGCAAGGGAAGCAAACATGTTGAAGCAATGAAAGAAAAATGTTGCAATAAAAACACATGCTGCCTTATCAAATAAAGTTTCAGCCTCACCTTAAAACTTCCATACTAGAGGAGAAACTCGTGGGCCATCTCTCACTGACTACATAGCCGAATGCTTCCTTCACCACATCCACTCATGAGGACGACTGTGACTCTGAGAGCAGAGGCTGTGGATGGCCTTCAACTAAGCCTGTCCTTTAATGGAGCGGGTTGGGGAGCCCCTACAAATACTGGTAGGAGAGATGTAGTAAGAAGAAAGGATAATTTAAGGAATTTTTAAAAACACCACCTCTGTACTTAAAGCCCTGCCCAACAGGTATTGTCACCAATTTTACAGAAATGTACCTGGGAAGTCATAGAAGCAGTTTAGAGTCTTTTCTGCAGAAAGGGGCTGGTTTCATGCCATACTGGTTTCCATAATACCCTTACATAACAGAAGTACATGGTTTTAACCAAATGCATTGCCCAGACCCAATGGGATAATCCTATAATAATGCGTCAGTGGGGCAGATAGGCAGGATGCCTCAAAATTGAATTGATTATGCTACAATTCTTCGGTTGCAAGCAACAGAGTAAGATGTTCTGACTTAAGCAAATATAGAGAAGTTGTCAGAATCTAGATTATCTCATGGAAGCCAAGGGCAGAAATATAGCCAGGCAACTAAAAGGGCTGTAGCCTAGGACCAGATAAACCAGAAGCTCTCTCCCTCTGCCTTTTATCTTTATTTTTCCTCGTGTATCTGTTTTCACCCTTCACTTTCTTTACAAACCATAGACCACAGGGTCTCCACTCCCTCCAGTTTCCATAGTAAATGCATCCTGCCCCAAAGTTTCCTGAGTATACATGTTTCTGTTCCATGCATTCACAAAAACTAAATGCCCATCTTTAAGTGCCAATTATGAATAGCAGGACAAGAGAATCTGTGATCCAAATGAAGGCAGGTAGCCTACCCTGGTTCAACGAACTGTGGCCAAGAAAATTGAGAGGGATATTGTAATACAGTGTGACCATGCCTAGGGATAGTGAACCCTCCAGCAAAAGACTGAGAAAGGGGTCTTTGTGAACTGTACAGGCTGTCTAGGATATGCACCAGATCACCTCATCTGTATGGCTGCTCCCTTACCAGGAGAGCAGCAGCTCCATCCTGTTTCCTTAGCCATTCAGTGAAGTTAGAAATCAGGTTATGACTATCCTGCTGATTCTACATTAGTTAACAGGGTCTCCTGCTCTTTCCTTTCCTCAAAACAGGACAAAATTTAATCAAAATGGCCTTGTACTACTTTTTTTCTTTTAGCTCCAGCCTTCCACAGAGACTAATCTTTCCTTTCCCTGGCCTCCTCATTCTTATGCACACCGCCTCAACAATTTCTAGACTTCCAAATCTGGTCATGCCAAGAATAGACTGGATACAGTTTAATCACTCCAATAGCAATCTGATCATTACAATTATAACAATTGGTGCTGTACAAATACCTTCCAATCAAACACCTGAAAACAACATTCTACCCCAAACACACACACAAACACACACAAAATTTCTGCCAGATTTATTTCCTTTAAAATAATATATATGGCATGTTTCTTTTACCAGTTTTGATTGTTCAAAACATCTGCCACAATCAGAAAATTTCCCATGTGAAGAAAAGGCTGTAAATTGATTCTTGTCTGTGACATTCAGCGGAAACAAGGGCACCCTAGAAGGAACAATTTATACTGCTTTTGGAATATACTGATGCATTGTAAATTAGTTATAAAACTTTTTGGCATCATCGTAGACAGCTCAATGAAGATATCTGCTTAAAACACATAAACAATTCAAAGGAAAAAAGGAACAAGCTGCTCAGCTGTATCAAAAACAAAGGCAATGATAATAAATAAATTATTTATGTGATACCTTAAGCTTCTTTAATCAACAAATATTTAAAACTTCATTAGAATGACTCAAGTAGAATCCCAAAGAATCTTACACTTAGTAAGGAAAGCACAAAATGAGGAGTTGCAAATCAATGGGTGTATAGATTAAGTAATACAAGATGAGAAATTTTAGGGATCTGCTGTACATTGTAGCTATAGGTAATAATATTGTACTATGCACTTAAAGATATATTTAGAGGGCAGATATCACGTTAATCGTTCTTGCCACAATAATATAAAAATTTAAATTAAAAAAAGAATTAAAGGGATTTGCACTTCTGTAGATAGATTTTTGGAGAGTCAACCAAATAGTTCTAAAATGTAATGTTTTAGCATGCTAAAGTTAAGAGTATCTTTCTATACATGCACACGCACACGCGCGCGTACACGCACACACACACACCAAAATTCCACCAAACTCGTTACCACTGAAAAATGCGGTGCCAAATCTGAACTCTGAGAACAAAACTGACATATTTTAAAGCAAGGACTCCTTTCTTAGAACTTTAAGGAATCATTAGCTTTGGCTGGGAGAAAAGAAAAATGGGTGAAATTACTACCAACTAATTTCTCAAGGAAAAACAGTTTCACAGAAACTTTAAAAAGTTTAATGAAGCAAGAGAAAAAGTCTCTTCTGAAGAATATTTTTATTGTCCTTTGAAAATTCTTTTCACATGAAGACAGTATGATAGGTTCTAAATTTTACAATGCCAGAAAAAAAGCAAAACCTATATATTTTTAAAAGATTCTTGAAAGTTACACTGCAGAAAATTTGGCCTAAAAAAGCCAAGTTGTATTATAGCACCTAATTTGTTTGCAGGTGATATAAAGCCCATCCATTTAATTCAGCTTTGAATAATGTTACCAACTCTAGGATTTGAAACCAATCTCAAATAATTGAAATTCTCCCCAACAGAAAATCAAAGAATGGTTCTTTCAGTAGTTACTCCCTTCCAAGTATGCACGGCACCACTTATTAGTCAATTTCTCTCCAATTAAAGTATCTTCAAATACTGAAGTTTAGTTCTCAGGAAAATCATTTATTTTGCAGCTCTCTCCATACTGTTCCTTTGCCTTGCCTTGCCTTGCCTTGCTGGTTTCCCCCGTGTTAGAAATCAAAGGAAGGAAATTCCCCCCATGGACTTCTACATTGAACAAATAGAATTTATTTAATTACCTTTAAAAGCATGAATCCTACGGAAACTGGATTATTCTGATCCTTATTATCTTTGGTGGGAGAAATGGGTTGTTATGGATCTTGGGGCCTTGGAGAGAAGAGAAAGAAAAAAAGAAAAAAGAAACTACATAAAAGAAGGCATCATAGCTAGAGGAAGGCAAAGAGCCATGGGTGTTCAAAGGTATGGGGTCTACATCCTTCTGCAGATGAAGTAGAAAGCACTTTCCTTTCTACAAAATGATGAGGTGGGATTCAGTTTTCCATATGCCTCTCTTGCCATCTAATTCTAATATGCATCTCAAAATAAAACCAGAGACTTTGTTTCCATTTCTGAGCCCATGTAGGAAAATGGTATGTTAGAACTGCTGTGAATAACACAATCATGTTTTGTGTAAACAAACTCAAAATTATTTCAGGCCAAACATTAAATCGATGGTCCTATTGAATATATGCTTCCTGTAGAATCTGAGGTTGTTCTTAGGTGAAAATTCAATATTTTGAGACCTCTTTTTGTATGTAACTCACAGAAAATAAAAGTGTGTTGATTTAATTCTTTCCTAAGACACATTTCTCAATCTGATGACAATAGCAAAATCTCTTCCTACAGATGTCTCAATCAAATCAAACGATATTCTATTGTTTATAGATACATGTAAAAAGACAATTTTTTCTTTTTTAATGAAAATTACAACTTTAGGTTACACTTATAGAATGATAATTGATTGAAAAAACTATAATCTGGAAGGATGCATTCCAACAACTGTCTCCATTTTTCTGTTTATAAATTTAAAAACTTTTTCTTTTTTACTAGCATTTTGAGTTTAGTCAGGGAGGTACAGTAAGCTGCCTTCATAAAGGTTCTCTAACCAGAACCTACAGAAGGTAGGAAATGTACTGGCTTCTCTGAAGTATTCATATTAAAAGGAAACACAGTCACTGCATGAGATATAAACAGAGAGAAAAACAAAAAAGCCTTGAAGAAAGAATAACATCAGCTATGGTTTTAGGGGCAATGGGACTATTACTTTCACACACCCTCCCTAACCAGGAGAGCAGCAGCTCTCCGTGAGAGCCCAGTTCACCTACGATGAAAAGCTTTCAAGCCTCAGTTAATAGTCATCATTATAAACATAACAATGGTAATAACGGTCATAGTGTACCTACTACACTCAGCAATTTGCAAAAGGCTTTTAATTATCAGAAGGCTCTTAACCAATCTCTCTGAAAGCACATGGTGTTCTAACTGGGAGCATTTTTAACTGGCTTGACCAAAGGTAATTTTTGTGAAAATATCAGGGGAACATCTTGACAGACACACTCAATTTGCCAGTACTTTTGCAAGTACACTACCATTTTCTATGCAGTTTTACTTATAGGTTATGACCACGAAACCAAGTGTGATTTGTACTTTTCACATTTGTAGGGTTCCCGCTGGTGCCAACCACTATCCATGCTATTACCAGGGCCCTGTACTTCAATGACAAGTAAGTATTTTATGGTGATGTTTAGGTTAACATATGCATAAATAAAATGGATTTGTGTGTTAATGTGTTTCCCACCCCCCTTTTTTACAGCTGCTGGCTGAGTGCAGATACCCATTTGCTTTACATAATCCATGGCCCTGTCATGGCGGCACTTGTGGTGAGAATTGGTTTTTAATGCAATATTAATAGTGATATCTCTTAGTTGAGATTTGTATGTGTATGGTTCTATGTATCATATGTTTTATAATTTCAAAATGAAGCTCATTTGATGGCATTCTGTAGTAAGAAAAGCAATTTGATTTTAGAATCTTCAAAAAAATGCTTTTTACTTATACACACGGAGGGGTTATCATGAGCTCATTTTCATTACACACTGTAACAGCAATGTAGCTCATATTTTAAGACTTTTATAACTAGATTCTCCTAGGTAAAGGTAAGAGGTCAAAGGGCTGCAAGAATTTTTTAAAGGTTTTGTTGATAAAGAAAGTGAAATATCCTAAAGTGTGCAATTCTTGTACCTTTTCCCCTAGGTCCTAGAGAACAGAACCATCTTCAGTTTCATCTTTGACACATGGGCCATCATCATAAATACCCCAATTACACACTTAAAATATTTTAGGCATTTCACACACATTGCCATGTTGTTTTTAAAAGAAACCTTCTAATGGTAATATGTAAGGCTGTTTTACTCTTAGGAAAAAAAAAAAAAAAAAGAAAGAAAAAACCTAAACCCAAGTCTGTAGTAATCTCACTCAAAAATCTCAGAACTAAGAAGAAATTTGAGTTAGAGTAAAAGGGGGACAGAGAATGAGACTGTCTGATTCTGAATGCTAGCTCCTTTATTTCTACCCATGTTTGCTTTACTACCTGTTGGCCATGATCAGATGAAGAAAGTGAAATATCATATTTAATATTTAACCACATTTAATAATTTGACATTATCTTTCCCATTAACCTTAAAGACAGTGTTTTCTTCAGATTGTAGTGAGAAAAATGAAAGCAGTCTTAAGTTGTAGACTACCTTCTGTTCCTGCATTGAGAAAGCATCAGTTAGTAACTGTTCAAGTAGACTTTTTATCCAGACTTTCTTCTATCTTTCCCTGCCTTTCTAATGGAAATCAACTTCACTAGCCCGGCCTCAAAAGGACCTACTGATATGGGTCTTGAACCTTTAAAGCACACCATAAGAGTTAAATTATTATAAAAGGTCATATTATTTCTTGAAATTTTGGAGAAAAAATAATGTTTATTTCTATTCTAGGTAGAAAAATAATTCTACACATTTTAAAATTGTCAACTAAATTTTAAAAACAATTTTGGTTTCAAAACTAACCTTTATAGCCAAAAATAGTTTGTGACCCAGAAGATGTCAATTTCCTATATTTTTAATTTATTCTTAAAGATCTTTTCCCATTGTGTCTGCTAATCTGGTAGATATCATGTTTCATACCAAAATAAAATTAGAAAAAAATGTCCCTTCTGTTTTTTTAGATAGTTAAATAAACTTCTGTCTTATTAACCAATTCATTTAAAATTGATCAATTATTTTAATTTTATATTTGGTGTTATATAAATGGTGTCTACCTGATATTAAGTGTCTGTTCTGGATGAGCATTTTGAACACTCCCGAAAAAATAATTTTTAACATCTTTGGTATGCAGAGAAATTTTCTCTGTAACATTTATTATTTTATCTAGTGATTCTGCTTAGGAGAAGTTTGTTTGTGTTATGAACAGCTAGGATCTTTGCAAAATTTGACATTCCAGAGGTCTAAAAGTCTTTGGTTCTGTGAACCTAAGGTCAAGAAACTCAAATATCCAACACAAGCTCAATTAGTGAGTTAGTAATAAATAGTGGCCTCACAACCAAATGTCAGATTCTTACTAAGGACACTATGGTTCTTTTTTTTCTTTTTCTTTTTTTTTTTTTTTGAGACGGAGTTTCGTTCTTTTTACCCAGGCTGGAGTGCAATGGCGCGATCTCGGCTCACCGCAACCTCCACCTCCTGGGTTCAGGCAATTCTCCTGCCTCAGCCTCCTGAGTAGCTGGGATTATAGGCACGTGCCACCATGCCCAGCTAATTTTTTGTATTTTTAGTAGAGACGGGGTTTCACCATGTTGACCAGGTTGGTCTCGATCTCTCGACCTTGTGATCCACCCGCCTCAGCCTCCCAAAGTGCTGGGATTACAGGCTTGAGCCACCGCGCCTGGCCTATGGTTCTTATTTACTTGGGATTCAGTAGACTTGCCTCCATGGCTTAGCTCTATCATCTACTAGCTCTGAAAATTTAGATATCAATTAACCAAAAAATGTCCCCTGATTTTTTTTAAGGAAAAAGTTAGATTAAACAATCTTTCAGGTACTTTTGGAAGATAATCTCTAATTCTAGGTCACTGAACCTTAGCACTGCTCTATATCTTTATCTGTTAAGAATAACAAAAACAATAATAGCTGTCTATAAATTCATGGTTATAAAATATCTGCTAATAAAATAATAAATGAAGTAAAATGAAGTAAAAACTTTAGCAATTATTCTTATCTTTAAAATTCTAAAACAAATATTTTTTGCCTTAACTGTATAGAAATTTTGAAGGAAATGTTGATTCTAAGATCCAAATTATACATGTGTATCTGAGATGATCGTGTGTATACTTCACTTCACTGTGAATGACATAAATTAACAGAAAGTGATATATTTGGAATTCTTATTAGTTTCATGACTAAAGGAAATGCACATTAGTATATTTTAAAACTAAAAAAAGATTTAGCAATTAACAAGGTGAACTATTTATACCTTGATAGATGATTTTTCTCATTTTGAAAGAGGTGCCCATGCAAATATGGACACTTGATTTATGACAACAGCACTTTTTAGCAGAGGAAGGAGATGGCCAATTAGATATACATACAGAAAAAATATCAGACATGTGTTTAGGCGATGCATATGTGTGGGGGGAAAAAGTAAATTCTGACTCCTTCCACAACCAGACACACACACAAAAATGTGTTTTTAGTGAACTGTAGGTTTAAATGTGAAAGACAAAACAATAGTGCTCCTTAAAAAACACATTAGGTATCTTCATGAGCTTCAGTACAAAAATATTTCTAAATCAGGATACGAAAAGCACTTAATGAAGAGATTGGTAAATCAACTACATTAAAATGAAGACAACATTTAAAGACTAAAAAGAAAAACCTTAGTGTCCAATAAGGTATCTGCAATGTTCCAAATAAAGACTAATAAATTTATGAAAAGGTGTTCAGCTCACGTGTCATCAGGAAAATGCAGATTAAAACAAGAATGAGGTAATACTACACCCCTCCACCACCTGCTCCCCCATAGAAAGGCTCATACCAAGTGTTGGCAAGGCTGATGAGCAACTGGAACTCCTTTACATACTGCTGGAGGAAACATAAAATTAAACTACCTCTCTGGAGCCCTAGAAATGCTGAGTAAATTGTGCTACCTCTGAGGTAGATTGTCATGTTCTATGTAGGTAACATTTGCCGCTCACACTAGATAAACAAGAATTTGAGGACAGTGGGCATTTTTAAGTGATGCTTTTCTGTACGATTTGCTCAGAACATCATATATTTGCAGGTCAATTTCTTCTTTTTGCTCAACATTGTCCGGGTGCTTGTGACCAAAATGAGGGAAACTCATGAGGCAGAATCACACATGTACCTGAAGGCTGTGAAGGCCACCATGATCCTTGTGCCCCTGCTGGGAATCCAGTTTGTTGTCTTTCCCTGGAGACCTTCCAACCAGATGCTTGGGAAGATATATGATTACGTGATGCACTCTCTGGTTAATTTCCAGGTAAGGAAGCCAAAGGTGTATTTATTCAACTACTGTGCTTATTCAGCTAGCTGATCTTAACTCTAAAGCCCATGATCTTAAACGTCATAACATTTAAGCCTCCAATTCAACAAGCCCAGCCAAAATTTTGAAGGACACCAGTTTTTTTTTTTTGAGGCTCCTTCCTGCATTTATTTCTGTGCCTGCTTTCTTGTCATTCCCAAGGCCCTCAGCTGGTCCCATCCAGGCATGTTTTCCCTGGTCATAGGCATAGAAATTATCAGATCATCCTTTATAAATAAATGCTGGCTTTGGGGTAATGAGGAGTTTGTACAAAGCTGTCCATCCCTCCTGTTCTGTCACCCTCCTTTTGTCACGTAAATGTCAGGAATCATTTATGATGGTCCAGTGCCCATAAAGGGAAGTTGTATCCAGGCCTCTCCTCATGCAGGAGAGAATGCAGTGGGCTCCCAGAAGCTGTCCTGGACTGTCCAGTGTCTGCCACACTGGATAGGAGAATGGCTGCTCTAGTTCCATTCACCTTTCTCCAGATTAAAGCCTCACTGAAAGCATAATGTTGTATTTGGAGAGCAAGATAGGATGTGGGAGTCCTCGGCAGGAATAATTCTATCACAGGCTCTTAGGCCAGAGTTTTGCTGTCTCTATTACAAATTTCAAAAGAGATTTATTTTCTATATTAGGCTTAATGTGAGAAGGACGTCAAAATTAATAGGGTTAGAAAGAAAGTTTAGGGATTGTTTGAATAATTCAAGCTGTTCTTTTGGCCATAATCAAAAGTTGGGCACAAGAAATCTTCCAAGCAGTGACCAGGACTCAGGCAGTTTCTTAGTCTATGTCCTTATCTGAGAAATGAACTGGGTGGTGGGTGTACTACTGCACTAATTCACCATGACAACACAGGACGCAGACCCACAGCCACCCACTGACACTTGTGCTTGCTATCCTTGTAAAAGATTCCTCTACTGAATTCTACAAGGTCTCCATGTGTTTGTTTGTTTCTTTGTTTGTTTTTACTCCAGTCCTACAATTAGCAATTTCTCCAAGGAACTCTGGTTCCTTTTATTGTAAAATCGTATTTTAAAAAAACAAAACAAAACAAAAAAACAGAAAAAGATCTTTGTTTTTAAACTTTCTAGGTATAGATTTTTTTCAAATTCACTATAATCAGCATATGCTGCTATAAATTTCCATGTTGAAGGGAGCAATATATTAATAAGATTTACTGCACTGTCTTTTTACCCAAACAATGGAATCATAACAAGAAAAATATATTTCTAATGGAATATTCTTGTAGTACAGCACTGACTATGAATGGTAGATAATTCTTTTTCTTGCTTTTTTTTCTCATCGAGTCTTGACTTACTATTGCAGTAGTGAAGCATTCCTCTCCAGACAGTCTATTATATTGTTTACTAAGACAACATAATGCACACAAAAATAACTTCAACTGTATTTTTCCTTCCCTTTTTAGGGCTTATTTGTTGCAACAATCTACTGCTTCTGCAACAATGAGGTAAGCATGCATTTCATATAATACTATCGCCTGTTTATGTAAAGGCAGCATTTTACAATTTCCAAAGGGCCTCCATACACATGTCATTTCATCTCACTTATACAGTTGACTTTATAGGGTTTTGTGATTAGCAACATTATGTTTTTTTCCACTACTCCAAGCTGAATCTTATCTATGAACGTGTAGTACAATGGCAAATAGGATTCGGACAGGCAGCTAATTTCCTTGGGTTGCATCTTGAACAGATCAGCACCCTCAGCAGCAATAGTGAAAGCTATTCTGGATGCCATTAGAAAGAGAAGTCATATTCCTATTCCCTCTGGAAGACCCAAGCCCTCACACTAGGCAGAGACAATCTCCAGTCAGTTTTTACTGGTTCCTCACCTTCTTTTCTAGTTGCTTGGTCATAGTGTCCTACTACTTATTCAGCGTTTTGAAAATCACCCTGAAGTTAAGATTCAAAATGGATTCTCAAATAATCTACAATGTGAATATTTAGATCAGTAAAATCTACAGATCCATATGGCTGATCCATTCTGCTCTCAGGGTGTTTTTAGCCAGGGTACCTTTTCTTCCAACCAAATCTTGCCTAGAAACCAAATCTACAAAACATAAAAGTGGAGCTTCTATACCCGACAGACGTCCTTCCAAAGAACTTCCAGGGTTTTAGGGAACACGATTCAAAAATCTTCCTCATTTTCAGGGAAGATATCTAAGCTCCAGAAAGATCACGTGACTTAACCAACGTCACAAATGCAGTTATGGTTATAACCAGGACTGGAACACAGATTTCCTGATTTTCAATTTAATTAAGTCCCAATTAACTTATCTATGTCTATAATCCCTTCCTGGTGCTGTGTTAGTATACTTTTTCTAGGACCACACAACTTTTAATGACAAAGTATTTTTGAACGTTTGAAATCAATTCCTATTAAGAATAATTCCATACAAGGCAAATCACATTTTGCCAAGACATCAATATATTACTTTCCTATTAGTAATTAGAAACATTTCTAACCATTGTCAGTTAATAATTTATTCTCTATTCTTTTTTACTAAGTTAAATAATATTTAGTGAGCACTTACAATATTTTGCTATTCTGAGACTTGTTCATACCGTTTCCAACCCCAACATGACAAAGTTTTTATTGTTCCTATACTCCATTTTCATTATTACATTGCATTCCTTCCTTTCTTCATCTATTCATCTACCAACTCATTTCCTCATTCAACAAAAATATATTGTGCATTTACTGTTGCTAGGGGCTAGACTAAGGGCCTAGAATAGAAATGAAAAGACATCCTTCCATTCCCAGCTGTTAGAGTGGCAATATTTTTTAGAATTTTAATATTTTTGAGAATAATAAAAACGAATAAATGAGTAGGGCATAAGTCACCCCATGTTTATGTAAATTTTTGTGAATGTATATCCATGCCTTTTGGGTTGTTTCAGGTGGCATGCAAAATAAATTTTTTATCTAAAATTATATCAAAATAGGGCTAAGAAATCAGGCTCAGTGGGAATACCTAGAAAGGATTGCATGCATTTGTAAAATACCACAACATGTATTGTGTCTTAACTATGATACTGTCACTGGAAGTGTCAGACATAGAAAGCAAACCCAGGGGTACCCTAACAATTGAATGTCTCAAGTTCATTTGAGTATATGTTATCTCTGATTTTGATGAAACCATTTCCATTTTCATTAAGATCCTATTACTGGGGGAAGGTACAAGTGTGACATTTCTAATAATGTATAAATTGCATATTGTGCCTAATGCAATGTCACAGCCCCATGGATTTTAGGCATCTGGGTCTCAGCTGGGCATTCTGTGGATGCATCACCTTACATCATTGAACACAGGCAGGGCACTCACACATGCCAGAAGCTATTTCCAGCTGTATCTAAGATAGGGCTGTGATGGAACTATGCCTGGCTGAATACTGAGTTTTAGCAGGAATCTATGGGGCTAATTCATTGTAATGATGAGATCACATCATATTGTGTTACGTGCAATTTAATTTTGATTATGATTGGTATTTTATCAATGAAATTATTTCATTTTTGAATTTTGATTCATGATTGGTGTGTTAACAGTGAAATGATCATTATGAAAATAAATCATGTAGAGAGCCAATGGGTAGATTAAAAGCAGGAAAGTAACTTGAAGAATTAAAGTAACAGGAATCAGGAGATGACCATGTGAGCATATTTATGTATCAAGAATTTTCTACAACAGTTCTTCCAAGTGAGTGGACATTGATTATCCAAATATATCAGTAAATTATTACATACCTAAGAGATCTCAAAAAGATGATTGCAGCTATAAAAATGCACAAATTATTTCCAATAAGTAGCTTAGAAATGGAAGTACTAACAGCACACTGGATTTTCTCCCTTTTTTTGTATCTTGCTATTGCCTGTACATTGTGAATAAAATAGTTTATAGATCAAAGTAGCATGATCAGAAGCATCTCAATTTAACTGGCAAAAATTGGAGTGTGCAAAAGCTAAAATTTGGTTTATTTGCTGTAGCTTATCTTGCTTTCAAGAGATCATTCTGCTAGCCTCTAGTGGTTTACAGCAGTATCTTTATAGAAAATACTCAATTCAAAAGGCTTTGTCCAAAAGAGCACTGGCTACCAAGTTATAATGCCAGCACCCACTGTTGAAGTTCACACTGGTTCTCCTTACTACTAAGCACTCAAGAGGTATTTTCACTCTGTGGCTTCCTTAATGAAGACACAACCCTATTCTGATTCATGAGTTCTTTCCTCCAAGCCACCCGAGGAGCCTTGAACTCCAGCTCCTTTCTTCACACCACATAGAGGCTGTAAATCTGTCTTCAGTACTTGCCGTAGCTATTGCTGCTCCGCTGTTGGTCATGGTGCCAGAGGCAAATGAGAACTTCTTTTCAGAGCTAGCAGTTTTCAGGACTGTGCTCTCAGAATCAAAAAGAAAGACTTGATATAATGGAGTGTTCCTAAGAAAGCAAATTATATCTAGCTTGATTTCTTCTCATTTTCCCAAAAGTTCCTACAATGAAGGGGAAATGCAAGGCCATTTGTGTGTCTGTCTTTCTCTCCTCTTCCACTTAGGCTTGTTAGGGCTGTGTACTCATCACTTCCCCTTCATGTCTGTGAGGGTCTCTACCTATCTCATATCCTACATGTTCTCTACCCTGTAGCTTTTAGTAAAATACTATCTGCAGACCAGTAAGATTTTCACAACATATGCAAAGAGAAGTTTTTCTGTTTAGAAATTCTCCCACTCAATATAGCCTGATTTTTAATGTCCTCCTAGACTCATAAGAAAGCCAGCTTTAGGATCATGAGTCTCAAAGCTAGGCAATAATTTCTTTGTTCTAGACCAGTATTCTCAAACTTGAGAGTACATCAGAATCACCTGGAAGATTTGTGAAAACAGGGATTGCTTGGTCCCAGCAACAGAGTTTTCTATTCAGTAGGTCTGGGGTGGGGTTTGAGAGTTTGCATTTCTAACCAAGTGCCCAGGTGATACTGATGCTAATGACCATTTAAGAACCACTCTTCTAGACACAATCACATTTGTTTTTCAAGCAGTGAATGACCCTTACTTAATGAATTGGGGTGTAGCAGGAAACATTATTTAAGAAAATTAAGAAATACAATGGTTAAATGTTTTCAAAAAGTTTAACTTTATATAAATGGTACTTATGTATTGTTATATTTTAGAAGAAGGAATCTTTCCTAAAGGTAAGAAAAAAGATAATGAATGAGAATAAGAAAGCCCTGATTTTATAATCAAGTACTCAATTATCTTAAATTATAGAGCATATAAATTCTGTAAGATAAAATCAGAGACCAGTAGAGATATTGCCACTGTGTCCTCCAAAAGGCTGAAAATAATGTTGGCAACAACTTTGTAAATAATATTCACAACTATCCCTTAGCATCTAATTAATAGATAGTAGGAATCTGGCTTTCAGAAGTCATATAAAACCATCTAAGGTGTGCAATTACTTTTTAACTTCCAAGTGTTGTTGTTTTTTAATCATGATTTTTAAATCCTAAACTCAGACTGCAGCAGGTCTGTTAGATTTGATGACAGCGTGAAGGAGTAGGCTTTACAATCTTTGCATTCATTGGATCAGACCTCCTAGGGTAAACCCCACCTTCTATTATACTTCACTGCTTATAATGAACTCAGGAAAAGGTGAAAGACAAAAACATTCAAATTAAACCATGAAGACCCTGACCTTATTTTGTTTTGTAGAAATGCAGAAACTGAGGCCTAAATATACCAACTTTACAAAGCTCATTAATAGAGCCAGGTATAATAATTATGTCTTCAAACTGTGAGGCCAGGCTCTATTTTTTAAGTTGGCAATACACACATTTATATAATCAGAAAAAAACATAAAGTGAATTGTGTTTGTTGCTTTTGTAGTAAGTGATGAATTTACAGAATTCAAATCTTTTTTGGTTATACTTATCACATTTACAAATGATAACATTTATTTTCAGGAGCAACAAAACTCTGTTGTTGTTTTTCAGATTAAATGCCCTTATTCTTGTCATCAAAGAAGCATCAGGCTCAACCTGTGATACTGTAGGAGATAATTGTCCTTATTAGTCTATAATTCTTCAAGCATCTTTTATATGCTGCTAAGGGCCTATGTATAGTTATATGTATAGTTTACAAGTCAAAGCAAATTGCCATCCCCACACAAAAGGATGGATTATACTTCTGGGTGCAATTAGAGAAGGCCATGAACCTTTCTGTAATAATAACTTCTAAAAATTAAAATAGAATTCAAATGCTCTGGCCTCATGCTGGGCTGAGTACTTTATTAATATAAATAGATACTCACATGAGAATTATTTTAAAAGGACAGGTGAGGAATAAGAGACCTCTTTTTCATGCTGGATGCTTTTGAAAACTAACTCTAAACTCTAACTACCTGCTTAGATACTTCTAAATATCTGTGTAAGATTCAGCTATAAGGATAATCTTGGTTTTAAGAGATGCTGAATCTGTGGAAATTATCAGCTTCCCTTGACTGGAAACACTGTTTCTCCAAAAATGTGCTGAACCTGTGTACTTCCCAGTTTCTCAGTGGGACATTTGATGGTTCCTAGATTATAACCCTGGCATTTAAAGCTACAGTAATAGTAACACCCAAATAAAGCCAGGCTCTCATTGGTTATAAGAGCTAAAGAAATCTTTTCTAGCTTTTCTAGCAAACAACCTTCCCAGGGGTAATTTAGGCAAGTAACTCAGTTCTTCCATTTGCAAATTCTTCTTCCAAGTACTGTGGTTTTGCCACATTCTGGCTACATGATTTTGGGCACGTTGCATAACCTCAGCCCCCGCATCCATAAAGTGAAGATAGTAGTGCCCTTCTGGTAGGGCTGCTGCAAGGATTAAATAAGTTAATACAAATTACATACTTGTGATATGGTACATAGTAAACACTCAATAAATACCCAAAACTTGTTATTCTAGCCTTTGTTTCTTTGTGTGGCTTTTTTCAATAAAACTTTCAGCTGCATGGCACATCTTACTCCTTAGCACTTAAAATTTTTGTCTTTGTCTCTTTTAAATCACTTTAGACATAAAGTACTCTGCATGCAAGCACTCATTACCTCCAAAACAAAATAAAACAAAACTCAGGCTGTGTTGCCTCCATAATCTGGAAAGTCTAGTATTCCAGATTATCAGGTTGCTAAATAATTCTGATTGCCATTTGTCACCTCGAATCTTACAGTTGCTCTGCTACGTGAAGATAAACTTCTCCAGCTACAAATTCTATATTCCCTTTACTTGCTTTCTGAGGAATCATTTGACTTTGTTGTTCCCTGAGTAAAATTTTTAAAAATATATGAAAAATACTAATAGTTCTCCGAAGAAATTGTTACTCTACTAGATGCAGAAAAAAACCATATTTGCCACAGAAGCATTCAGTCTTACATTTTACATATAGTTGTATAACATTAATCGGTTTTGCTGTCATTTTCTCTTTTTTACAGATTTGTACAAACGTAAAGTAGATAAAATGGTAATCCATGATCAAGTAGTTACATGACTTATTTCACATTATATATTCCCCAGATTCTCTCTCATGTGTTTTGCTGTCATATATTAGTTTGGCAGCAGAATGAACTAAGAATGTATTAATAAATTGATGCAAATATTTTTATGTAAGCTTGTCATATGTACTGAGCAACAGAAACTCAGAAATACAGAATAGAGATTATTGTAATAATCTCTTTCCTAGTTTTGTTCAGCTATAGAGAAAAGCAATAAGTTTGGAGACAATAAGAAGGATGAACCTAACTACTAAATTGAATTGGGTTCTATAAAAAGCGGAGCTAGACAAGCAAATTCACTGTCTGTGGTACTATTTTCAGTTGTGGTTATTGTAGTTTTCAAATTTAGAGTTTCCTGATGTTAGCACCTTCTCCACCTTTTGTGTTCAATATATAATTTGTCATATTTATAAAACCAGTCTGGCAGGTTTGTTTACATTTTAGAAGTCTTTCAAAAGAAAAATATTGAAATCTTTTTTTTTTTTTTTTTTTTTTTGAGACAGAGTTTTGCTCTTGTTACCCAGGCTGGAGTGCAATGGCGCGATCTCGGCTCACCTCAACCTCCGCCTCCTAGGTTCAGGCAATTCTCCTGTCTCAACCTCCTGAGCAGCTGGGATTACAGGCAGGCACCACCATGCCCAGCTAATTTTTTGTATTTTTAGTAGAGACGGGGTTTCACCTTGTTGACCAGGATGGTCTCAATCTCTTGACCTCGTGATCCACCCGCCTCGGCCTCCCAAAGTGCTGGGATTACAGGCTTGAGCCACCACGCCTGGCGAAATCTTATTCTTAAAAAGTTGTTATGGCATTAACCAGAGGTGTATCTGGCACACCCCATCTCAAGTCATGTCAGACAAGGAAAAGTTAACGGTATGAAGCCATTATTATAAAATCCAGTACTGTGCTATGGTTTACATATATGTTTTTCATGTCCAATAATGTATACACTTAAATTAAAAACTTCTGCCTTATCAGGGATGGTAGCATATAAAAAGTTTTGTCAAACTTTCTCCTTATTATGACATGTACACATTACCTATGAAACCAAATCAACTTTTATTCATTGGTTACAAGAGCTGAAGAAACCTGTTCTTAAGCCAGGCGCGGTGGCTCACGCCTGTAATCCCAGCACTTTGGGAGGCCGCGGTGGGCGGATCACGAGGTCAAGAGATCAAGACCATCCTGGTCAACATGGTGAAACCCCATCTCTACTAAATATACAAAAATTAGCTGGGCATGGTGGCACGTGCCTGTAGTCCCACCTACTTGGGAGGCTGAGACAGGAGAGCTGCTTGAACCCGGGAGGCACAGAGCACCACTGCACTCAAGCCTGGCGACGGGGTAAGACTCTTGTCTCAAAGAAAAGAAAGAAAGAAATCTTTTCTTAAAACTAGCAAACAACCTTCCCAGGGGTAATTTAGGCAAGTAACTCAGTTCTTCCATTTGCAAATTCTTCTTCCAAGTCGGTATATTCTGTGGCCACAGCATACACAGCTCAGCTCTTTAGATCAGCATTACAATTCAACTTTAACTTCTGATAAGGTCTAAGAATCATGTTCCCAGACTTTGCATTGATCATTTCTGACTATCATACGAAAATAAGGCTCCTTTTCCCTTCCAGGTCCAAACTACCGTGAAGCGCCAATGGGCCCAATTCAAAATTCAATGGAACCAGCGTTGGGGGAGCCGCCCCTCTAACCGCTCCTCTCGCGCTGCAGCCGCCGCAGCCGCCGCTGCTGCTGCTGCTGCCACCGCCGCCGCAGCTGCTGCTGCTACCGCGGAGGCCGACAACATCCCGGTTTTCATCTGCCATCAGGAGCCGAGGAATGTACCAGCCAACAGCCAAGGCGAGGAGAATGTTGAGATGATCCCTTTGAACGTCATAGAGCAAGAGTCATCTGCTTGAATGTGAAGCAAACACAGTATCGTCATCACTGAGCCATCATTTCCTGGGAGAAAGACCATGCATCTAAAGTGATCTCCATCCTCCCAGGAACTGAACATATCATTTGTGAAGAATTATTCAGTGAATTTGTCCATAGTAAATCTGAAGAAAGTTATTCTTGGTACTATTGCTTTGGGAGACAGTCTAGGAATGGAGTCTCCCACTGCAACTTGTGAACTCCATCATTCATCCAGGACTGAGATGCAAATGTCACAGTAACGCAAGCAAAGTATCAAAGAAACACAATGAAATTGACCTAGCCAGATACAGGGTGCTCCTTGTTGATATTGAGCCATTTATACCTTTGAAAAATTAAAATCACTCACAATATTTTTCTTTTTAACTCTGGATTTTGAATTAGAGTACTTCTGTATTTGACTATGGATCTGATTTTTAATTTTAATTTCAATCAATACTGATGTTACTGAGAAGTTTTACCGTCCTTACAGTGTAAACCACACAAACTAGGTGACCTCTGCAAGACAAAGTAGCTTTCTAATAATAGACAGATGACTAAATATGTGAAGAAAAAGACCTGGCAGGAAGATGTATGCTTTGAATGCAAAAGAAATTTAGAGTCAATTTGTGGGAAATAGTATATGCTCAGCTTGGTTTTGGATAATATTGTCCACTGGGCAGGCCCTAACTGCTGTAAGGAACTGGTCTTAATGTTGAATGTACTTTGGTTGCTGACATCTATAAACTAAGAGGTCACAAAGAATCCATCACTAAAAATTTTTACAAAACTGCCAAAACTATAGTTCTTAGTGGAAGACAATATACTCTCTTTAAAGAGAGTTTTCCGCTTTCCTAAACTCCAGGATTTATAAAGCAAATTACTTCAAGGTTTATAAAGCAGATTACCTCTTGCCCTTGGGTGCTATCTAAAAGTAAAAGATAAATTTGTCGAAAACCGGTAATCAAAAGACTCCATATAAGTCCATTAACTGCTTTCCACCCAGCTTCAAAGCTTAACAAGATCTCAGTCTTTTCCAGAAAAATTCAAGAGGATGAATTAGAAATCAATTTGTGGTTGACCTCTTGTTTCTTGTTATTAGCAAAACAGGAGAGGGAAAAATTGCTACAAATTTAACCATAAATCAATTCATTTTAAATGTTTCTCATTAAAATCCAGTATTATAGTTCCATATCTCTCTTTACTTTCCAGTATCAGATTTTTGAAAACCCCTTAATAAGCCAGTATCATTACTGGTAGCTAAAATTAATTTGTGAATTTGCAACAGTAATCAGAGTTACCATTATTTAATTTGTATACTAAATGAGGAGATACATTGAAATCCTCCAAATCTCCAGTCTCATCTATGTTGTATTTTGCCACTGCCTTTCAGAAATGATTTAGTTGTGGAAAGATAATAAATTGATTTGTTATGGTTATATATTTAGCGCACCCAGAGAAAATTATATTTCTACAGAGAAAATGAATTTTGGATACTAAAGTAGTTTAAGTCTCCTTTACTGCATGTAAGGGGGGAATTGAAAAGAAGGTATTTTTCCAATCACAGTGTTATGTAGTATTGCTCTATTTTTGTTTACAAACATGGAAAACAGAGTATTTCTGGCAGCTCTGGTACAAATGTGATAATATATTGCTAAAATATTTTAGATGTTTTATGCTAATATTGTAGGGCGTGAAGAAAATAAAATAGCTTATTATAGAATTGCACATAGTTCTGCCCAAATTATGTGAAATGCTTATGCTATATATATATGTATAAATTAATACAGAGTCTGTTAAAAGCAAAAGATGTATATTTGCATATTTTTCTAAAGAAATATATTATTCATCTTTCATTCATTCATCTTGTCTCCTGCTCATTCCATGCTGTTTTTCATTTCAGCATGGGCTGCTAACATCCCATCTTGTTTGTACTTTAGGAGTGGGAAAGATAATCTAAAAGTATAGATTAGAAACCATGCACAAAATATCAAGGTTATTATCTTTATTAGTACAATGATCTTTACTCTCAATTTGATTGTAAACTCAGTGACACTGTTCTCAGGTCCTTGATAACACAAAACCACACATCACTGTCAGTCAATATTGCATTAGTTTAGGAAGGACAGCAAAGAAATCAAGGGCAAGAATATCCTTCTATTGTTCTTGTTTTTTAATTCGTTATTCTGGGACCAGATTTGATCTGTCCAATATCATGTCAGATCATTAGAAGTGTTACAATCATTGGCTGTTAATATAGTTTGGGAGAGAGAATAAGGCTAGATGAAAAGCAACTAATTAACTATCATTAGAATGCATAGAGGGCACCATTGGAAAGATTTTCAGATCTGGAAAGCATGAAATGGAAAAAATGAGCATTAAATGAGAACTTGGACGGACTAATAAAGGAGAACAGGAGCAATTTGTAGATTCTTCTTATTATCTGAGAAGTTCCAAAACTGTGGCTTTATGAGACCTGAGAAACTTCTTCTAAAAGGATATATAAGGATTACATCTTTCCCTTATGTTCCAGAGGGGGATAAAAAGAGATACTATTATCTTTGTAATCTTGAGGAACAAAAACAATTTCTCATCATATCATAAAACATGATTTCTCAAGAGATAGACCAGTATTCAGATGATCAGCTTCCCTTTTGCTTTGACTCCTATTTTTTGATCCAAAACAGGCCTTTAGGTGCAAATGAATATTTCAGTTACTGCAGGGAAAAACGTTGAAGAAAACATCACAAAAATGCTATCATCCTTCAGCTACAATCATTCTCATTCATTCCTTCACTCATTAGACATTGATTAAATAGATGTTTCATACACCTTCCATCTCGCTGTAAAACAAATATTTATCAATAGTAGTTATCAAGTCAAACCTTCTTTACAGTAGGGATTGCTTCTTTTTGGTGTAAGGGTAAAAATCAAAACCTGCTAAGTGAAGCATTACCCTCAAACCATAAACACTGATGCAAGAATGAAGTGACACATGTGGCTGGAGGTGGTAGCTGAGTGTGATCTTCCCTCCTCATTAACACTGGACATAAGAGCTTCAGTTGTAAGAAACAATCTCAGAACATGATCTCAGGACAAAGGTTCAAGGAGGACTCACTGTCTTGACAAGGGCTAAAATAGTGGTTCTTCCACTGGCTAGATTACAACTTAACTAGTTATCACAGGAGTTAACACTTTTGGATTTAAAATGAAATTCTTTATGAAGAGGGTAGATCAGAATCCATATTTAGAAGAGCAATCAGGTAAACGCAGAAGGAAATTCTATTTGCTATTTTGACAATAAACAAGATGACACTCCTAACTTAAGCTTATGAAAGTTGATTTTACTGAACTAGTAACTTGTATCAAGCAGGGGGTTATAGGAAACAATAACTGGAAACATACAGAAAAGGATGATAATATGTGCATGTGTGGGCAAAGGAAAGTAGAGAAGCCACACTTACAGATTAAGAAATAACTGTATTTCTGATGTTTTTTTCTTCTGGACATGAAATTAACATTTGGTTAATATCTCTGAATAATATGAAGCATTGAAGGAAAGAAAACACAGTCACTGAAACTATAACAAACAAAGGGCAGGAAGATTTTCTGATAAAATATCCTCCTTCATTCAGACTAGCAAGAATCTCTGAGAATTTTCAGAGATTTTCCATTATCTTAAGCATGGGCCAGCCAGTCTCTTAAGCCACTGATCAATGTCCATTTTCTATTTACAGAAATTCAATGCCTTCTATCTAGCTTTCCCAGAAATCCTTCCACTGAGACACAAGCTATGCCATCCCTCTTAACCTATTGACCAGCAATGTCACCTCATGTCACTACAGTCTCTTTTTCTTAAGAGACCTGTTATTTTAATTAGGAGAATTTTGCCTCCAATAAAATCCTTTGCAAGTGAAGTGCCTAATAGAAATTCAATACAGCCAGTTGAGATGTCATTAATGAAAAAAAATTAGAAAAGATTGAGAAATCTGTCTCTATCCAAACCTGCCAGACTGGCTGATTAAAGCTAGCACATTGGTTTGTCATACAGAGGCCATACAACTAAATATACAACCAGCTATAAACTCTTAAGATCTCTGCATAGCAGAATCAGTGGCTAGTCTCTGTGCAGCAAGAAATTTCTCTGGATATAGTCTCTTCTTCATTGCACTTACACATTGCAGCTTCTGTATGCTCTCATCAGGAGAGGAATATTGTGAACTTAAAGCTATGGAGAGCATCCCTTTAATAGAGATCATTTAAGAAGAAAGAGAGAGATAAATACCAATCATTAAAACACTGTACTCAATATAATAGACCAATAGACATTAGCTCATCTACTCTTTATAACACTATGAGTCCTCTCTTTATGCTCATTTTAGTGATGAGAAAATTACGTGGAAGATAAATTGAATAAATTATCTACCACAATCACACGTAAGTGGCTGAGCTAGGATTTAAATCAAGGCTACCTAATGCCTCTGCTTTTTAAATTGCCATCTTGGTGGGTCCTACTATCCTAGTCAGGCTCTCAAAGTAAGGCTGTTCCTCTTTTTTAACTCTAAAAACTATCACATAGTAAATTCCCAGTGGTTAAGAGAAGAGAAATCATTCACAACATGTATCTTTTTAGTCCAAAGTTAACTTAATTCATTGTCCATAGATCCCTTCGGCCAAAAAGGGTCTTTGGATGGCATTTATTTTTCTGTAGTTTCAAGGGTTTCCTTTTTTTTTTTTTTAAATCTTTTTTTTAATTGCATTTTAGGTTTTGGGGTACATGTGAAGAACATGCAAGATTGTTGCATTGGCATACATGTGGCAGTGTGATTTGCTGCCTTCTTCCCCATCACCTATATCTGGCATTTCTCCCTATGCTGTCTCTCCCCAACTCCCCATCCCCCACTGTCCCTCCCCTATTTCCCCCCAACAGATCCCAGTGTGTAGTGCTCCCCTCCCTGTGTCCATGTGTTCTCATTGTTCAACACCCGCCCATGAGTGAGAACAT